CCCTCGCTCGGAGAGGGAGAGCGGAGGCTCGCCCCAAACCCTCCTCTGTCTCGCCCAGCTCTGCAGGTCCAGACGTCGGCACCGGCCTGCCCCTGCAGCTCGACGCGCCCTCCCTGCTCTCCCAGCCGTCCTTCATCCTCGCCGCCAGCGCCGGCACTAGCGCCAGCTACGGCATGGTCCCCACTCCGCCCTCCTACCACAAGCCGCTGGTTCCCCACCACCCCGTCGCCGCCAGCTCCCCCGCGAGCGCAGCCACCCCCAGGGAAGACCCGACGCCCTCCACCTCCGCCAGCCGCCCCTCGGCGCTTGCCGCCTTCCACATGAGGATCGCACCTGCCCCCTCAAAGCAGCCTGGCCAAAGCGGGGCTGCGCCCGAGGCCTCTGATGGCCCGGCACCCGCTGGACGGCACGGCAGCGGCGTTGGCCTCGCCCTCTTCGGCGTAGGGCTTGTTAATAAAGCCTTGTTTCAAAGCCTGATGGAGGAAAACGGCTGCTGCTTGCTTTACGTCGTGGAGGATCAGCTGGAGGAGGTGGAGCGTGCCTTCGGCGCCGAGTTCCTGGCTGGCACCAGGGTGCTGCGGCAGCAGGACGCCGATGTCGCACTCAGCGATCAGCGGTACTGTCCACCACTAACTCCCGTGCGTGCTTCTTCCCTGCCGCGAGGTTGGGGCGGGCGTCTCCGGGCAAGGCTTGCTTCCCCGCGCTGGACAATGCCGCTGCGCCGTAGCGGACCCAGACCATGCTTGTCTGGCCCCACGTATGGGAATGGAGCGAGACCAAGGGGCCGTTACAGGCTAAGCCTTATGTAGTATGCTGTCTACCCCAGATGCTTCAGAAGTCCCCGAGAAGCTTAGCTTGACTCACATGCCCGGAATCGATGGAAACTCAGAGGAGTTTAGTTGCAGGCAGTTTTGCAGGCTAAGACTTATGTAGTATGCTGTCTACCCCTAGATGCTTCAGAAGTCCCCAAGAAGCTTAGCTTGACTCACGTGCCCGGAATTGATGGAAACTCAGAGGAGTTTAGTTGCAGGCAGTTTTGTTGAGGAATATAAACCCCCCTTATTTTCCTCCATTCCCATAGAGCAATAAATGACACGCTTTCCTGCTGCCTACCAGTTTTTCTGCCTCGGAGCAGCTGGCTGACTTTGGTGGCTCTTTTGAAACTTTGAGATAAGCGAGGATTGCTGCAAATAGGAAAGATTGTGGCGCTTTGCTTTACAGTTGAACTGAACAAGTAACATCGAGTGGTGTGGTTACAGTCAGTTCTCAAATTGGGATTTTAAATGTCATAGCAAAAGTGAAAGGCAGAGCTTTTAAGAAAGATGGATTTGATACTGGAAACTAAAGAATGGTAATAAGCTAAGATGTACCCATCACTTGTTCAGCGGCTCTACCACATACTTTTGGTTTCACTGTATGTGTTAACTAGCCGGATTTAACTTGTTTTCAAAGGACACCTTTAAAAGACTTTCTCCTTTAAGATGCAGGAAAAGCAATGCAATTCCATGTGCCACTTGTAATTTTAACCTATATATGTCATCCCATATTTCATCCTTGCAAGCACGTACCGAGTTCCTTTTATAATGTAACTTGCTCTTCCAGAGTAACGGGGTTTTATGTCTTTTTTTTTTTAACTCTTCCTCAAAGTTCAAGGTGGCTATCATAACAGTAACTGTAACCGAAAGGAGCTTTTGAGCGTTGTTCATTCTAGTAAAAACCTCATCCTCACTGAAGATCTTTCTTTTGACTTCTGCAGAGTCTCTGGAGCCATTATTTGTTCACCACCTGAAGAAGCCTCCGAGATGGTAATAGATGCTTTACGAGCAGGTAAGAGGAACAGCTGCAAATTCAGCTTTTATCTGTAGTCAGTAGCACACGGTGAGGCAGACCTTGTATGCTTGCTAAACGCTTTAAATGTGAATGCTTTCTCGTCTCGGCAGTGTCCCTTGGGTTGTGCAGACTGTCTAATTGCATAATGAAAGAGAAATTAGTCCAGTGAGGACACAGATGCTAATGGCTTAACACCAGTGGAGTTTGTACTTGTGCTGGTCCCAGTACGGCCATGCGGAGTGTCTAGTCCTAGAAATACCTCTAGGACTCAAAGGAGAGCTGTCTGTCAAAACAGTCACGCTTCTTGGGGTCTGTAAGCAGCTAGTAAAACCACAGCTGGAGGCCAAAAGAGAGTTAGTAGCATCAACAAAGAAAAAGCCACGCTTCAGTTTCATCAAACATACTTTCTAGAATGTAATGACGTGTATATGTTACTGCAAGATAGAAATGTTTTTCTGCAGACTGTGTCTTGCCTTCAGTCCTGTGTTCTGTACCGTTTTGCACAGGAAAAGGTGTATTTTGCGAGAGGCTGCCCAGTTTTGACAGGCAGACGGCAGAAGCTTGTTTTGATGAAGCTGACAGATGTGGAAGACCATTGGTGTGTGGATTCTACAAGTAAGACCAGCATTTTTCTTCCGATTTATACTCGATAAGAAGCGCGTGTCTGAAGGTAGCATCGATTCCTCAGGCTTTCCTGAATTTGTCCTCAAATAAACTTAGTTTCACTGCTGCTTGTTAACATTCATCTGGGAGTTAATTGGATTAGATTAAATCTTCATACTTAATGGAGATAAAATCTAGCTGTCATGAGATGGAAATAAATGTTCACTCGAATGGATGCTAGTGGAACTCAAACAATGAAGCTTTCAAGATGTGAAAGCTCCATTTCTTTTAGAATGGCCAAAGGCGGTTGGGGTCCACATCTCTGCAGTCCTTTTGAGGTTTTGCAAATGCTACAGCTAGTTGGAGCTTCAGAGAAGGAAATATTCTGATGGTGCTGTGCCATTCTCTGAGGCAGTTTCTTGGTCTGTGGTTTTAGGACGTTTTTTGCTTGTGGTTTTTTGCATGTGTACAACCAGCAGGTCAGGCAGATCTGTGATTTTATTAAGCACGCAGCTACTGAGATCTGCTTTTCACTGCTCTGCTGTAAAGCATTTAGTTTGCAGCCCTGTTCAGTCTAGTAACGCCCTAGGACATTAAACTTTGCTCATGTATTAGACTTTCACACGAAACTTCTGCCCATAGGTATTGTACTTTTTCTGGATCTGAGGGTGTCTATCCTTTTTTCCCTGTTGGAAAGCTTTGTTGCAGGAAGCTAGAAATAACTTTGGAAGAAGGCAGTGAATTAGCTACATTCTTTGAAGTAGCAGAGAAAAAGGCTGCTCTTTGAATATATTTTCATAATATTGAAAACTCTTCCTTTCTTGTAACTTTTTTGTACTTTCACTGATTTGCTTATTATATTCTGTACTTACTTAGATGATGTTGATCCTGTGAAACATAAGCACATGTGTTAGCAAATACAGGTGAAGGCTTAGAGTAACTCTTCAACAAAAGAACAAGCGACCTTTTGAAGTTCCTTTTAGAGCACTGTCTTTAGGGAGACACTGGCCCCATCCACTACTTAACTTTCCACTCAAATTGAGTTTCCAAACACTGGGATCTGCATAGAGCTGCGTTTAGAAGGGATGATGCTTGAGGACTATTAACCTTGAGGATTGCAAACTACATGGCCATGAAAATTCGCCTTGCTCTTGGAATTACTGGCCTATCTGATGGGAATAGATTTATTAATCTTTATAAAGTGATATTTCCACTTGCAACCTTACATCTGGACCTTTAAGATTAAATAATTGAAATAGAAGGAAAGTAGACTAATTTTAATTCGCTTCTGCTCTGTTAAACAAAAGCCAAGAATGCTGCTTTAAACTTGCGCCCGGTATTGAACACCGTACGCTGAGTGGACATGGGTTGTTAGTAAACACACCGGATCATTTTGTGCTGCTCTGCTGAGAAGAGTTAATTTCATTGCAAGTAAAACTTCTTTGGACAAATATATATGTATTTCATACACACTAATACGTAATTACACAAAACATCTGCCCTAACGTTTGCCTTTTCCATTTGAGTGCGCTACATGCAGGTCTGATCCCAGCCATAAGGTTGAAGCTCAGCTGAGGTTTTGGTCAACACTCAGCTGAATATAAACTTGCAGGTAGGGCTTTAAGAAGAACTGTAGGCAATTTTCTGGACCTTTAAATGCTTTTAGTCCCCATGGTTTAATTTCGTCATTAAAGTTGTTTGTTTAAGTCTTCACAAGTGCAGATAGTAGGCTCGTTTGCAAGGAGCAAAATTCATACATAATAAGTGGCTGAACTTAGAAAGCTGTGTCTAACCCCGTCTGTCTGGTGAGGTTCATGTCGCACGCTCGCCACTGTCTGCAGTCGAGTCGGCCTCGTGCACCGCAGTGGTAACGGCGGCCCAGGTGACCTCCTTCTCTTCCAAACGCTGTACCGCATTCCTTGTTTCTCTTTGAAGGCGCTTTGACCCGGCGCTGCAGTTCTTGTACAAGAAAGTCCGCGACAGCCAGGCGCTGGGGAGGATCCACCGGATATCGACGATTAGCAGCACGTATCCAGCAGCGTCTCTGAGCTTCCTAAAAACATCAGGTACCGAGCGGCTTTCTTCTGAAAAGTTCGTTCTCAAAGGACTGGAAATGCATCTTGCCCCGTGTTCTGGTGGGAAGTCCCCTATGGTTGTGTAGCCTTAAGATGCATGGGTTTCCTTTTGAGGAGCATTTTCATTACCGATCTTTATTTTTGTTGCCTTTTTCTGTTTGCTTTTAGTATTAGTTTCTTCGATGTAGGGGGCTTTTTATATCGATCTCAGTGCAGTTCAGAAATGTACATTGACTGTGGGTTTCACATGTGGAGACCTTAATGCCCAGTTTTGCTTCTTCCAGGTGGAATTTTTTATAATGCTGCCGTGCACGATATAGATATTATCAGTTTGTTGTTGGGAGAGAGTGCACCAGATACAATTTTTTCACTGGGGCATGCATTCTGTGCAGGTAAGAATAAATCTTTTGATAGTTTATTGTGTACCTCTGGACTTCAGTACTAAAATTGGGAAGAAAGAGTGTACGAGAGCACGGTAGCCATGACATAACTGTTCCATCATAGAACAGTTGAACACTTCTACCTAGTGAGGTAGAAGGCAAGTTTCTCAAGAAGTTGTTGTAGACAGGGTGTTTAGCGATGATTTCTGACTTTTGTCAATTCCCTGCTGATGTGAAGCGGTTGCTGTAGAGGTATCGCTGAACTCTACTCTGTGTGGCAGCTGAGGGATATCAAGTTTGCCATCTGAAAACCAGAGTGCAGAAAATAATGAGCAAAGCTTTGTGCTTACAAGAACGTCAGTGCAGTCTCTTTCAGTTCTTTGCTTTCTCTGATTTCTCTGGCACTTTCCTGTTGATCTCAGCACGGTTAAAGATGTGAATTTACTCTGGATTGTGCCAAGCTGACGGGCACGCTCTGGGTTACCAGACTAATTTAAACTAACCATAAAAACGGGAAGCTGCCATTTTTTAAATGGAAACGCAAAGTTTTAATTAAGGTAATTGCAGCTGCCGCCAACCTTGACTGGCTGCTGTTAGAAGGTGTAGTATGCAATGTTACAATCTATGGTAAAGCGTGGAAGCGCAACAAACAAAATGCCCCAGGGAGGATTTTGTACCATCTGCCTCGTTCTAGCTACGTGCTGGAAGTTGCCTGATCTTGGTTGTAATAAGCTGCAAAGGCAAATGTGTTTGGAAGAAGAAGTGGAAGCCTTCTTTAGGGAGAGCCACGGGCTGGGAAGGTGGAGTTCAGGCCTGGGGACTGTGTGTTTCTGCAGAGCTTGTTGTTCTCCATCGGAAGTGCCGATAAAGGTAAACCAGCTGGTGTGCGTTGCAGAAAGCGCTTTGCTGTCGCCGTTGCTTCCTGTTCGAAGGTATTGTAGAGCCAGTGTCGCCTCTTAAAGGAAGAAGAGCGCTTTGTAGTCGTAGTACTTGCTGGTTTGCTGTTCCTGGTGTGAGTGAGTGCCTTTTTCGTCACTCAGATATGGCCTACTTGAAGGATGCAGACACTGTAGCGGTCAGCATGAAATTTCCTAGCGGAGCAATTGTTACTTTGGACATCAGTCAGCACTGCACTAAAAGCTGTGATCAGAGACTAGAGGTGCGTTCTTACTTTTAAGTCAAGTCTGTCGCGACACCACAGGCTAGCACGAGTTTTACCCTGTATGTGTTCACGTGGGGCAGTATGTGTTGCGCCCCGTGCATATGCCTGCAAGCACATTTCACAAAACACCTCTGTACCTCGGCAGCAGTGGATTGCTTGTGTTTGCTTAACCTACAATCCACTTTCTCTTTTGTTACCCGAATGTTGCCTCTGTTCACGTGTATTCTGTTGGGGTTGTAATTGTGCATGCAATCATACTAGAGCAGGAATTGGCGTCAGCTCTCCAGAGGCTGAAATGTTGTCGCACGGTCCGTTTGTTGTCTTTCCAGGGTGTTTTTAGGTGTATAGCAAGCCAAGAGTTAAGGACTAAAGGGGAAGAAAAGTGTAAACTCAGAGGCAAATAGTCTGTAAATTCCTAAAGTCATGAATTACAACAGATGCGTGGGCTGGATTTGGGGAGTAATAGCTTTTAAATACTTAAAAAAGGAGCTTTGCTCAGGTGGGAAGAAAAAAAGTGGAGGTATCACATAAGTGGAAGCCACTGTACTACAACACGTACCTGGTATTTTCTGTCGTGTCTGATCCATACAAGGGGGTATGTCAGTTGTAACTCCTAATTTTAGCGGCTACTTTTTTCTTGGTTGTACAAACCAGGGCTTCCATAGACTAGCCAGGTGTTTAAGATCGAAAGCACGATAACTTAGAAACGTTGTTCTCCTTCCTGTTTGCTGCCTTCCCTGCAGGTTCATGGTTCTCAAGGAACGTTACGGGTAGATAATCAGAATCCCCTGGGCATTACGGAGCATGGGACTTCGGTATCCATATATTCACAGACCCAAGCCGATCGCTACAGAGATGCGCACAGGGAGCTCTTTCGACACTTTCTGAGAACCCTGAAAGGTAGGACGAAGCTTACGTTAATGGCTAGTGTTGCTTTCGATTTGCTTTCAGCAAAAACTTCCCTTGGAAGCTGTTCCAATAGCACTTGCAATCTGATGTTTGTGTCTGAAATCCCAAAAAGAAATGAGTAGGTGTGAAAACTAGGAATGCGATTCATCATGGTTAAGTTTAAGCCGGTGTTGTGCAGGTGGTGAGCGAGCCCCCTGTAAGCAAACACGGGGTTTCACGGTCTGGGCTGCCGCCCTGACAAGCTCTGGTGTTCTCAGCGGATGCGTGTCGAGCACGACGGTGCATGCAGCTCGGTAGCAACATGCGTGGAGTGGTCAGCCTCCGAAGGAGCTGATAGTTCGACAAAAGTGCAAACAACTGACCTTGTTTCAGTAAATGAAAGTGAATGACTCGTTGGGGGGTGCGATTCTTTTCTCACTTTCAAGTCAGTGAGATGGGTGAGGGATGGAGTGTTGGTCTGAAACTGTGTTCTGAGAAGAAATGAAAATTGGGAGGGAACATTACGTTGGACCTTACTGTCGTTTGTGAAGAAAGCAGCCATTTATAACAGCAAGGAGACCCTCATCTGGAGTGCTGGCTGTCTGGAAGGAATGAAAATTTCTGTTCTGCTGGCTGCATTGACAAAAATACAGGATTTTAGTCACAGAACAGGAAGGAGAGGGGGCTGAAGCTTTCTTTTTAAAATCTGAGGCCCCAGCTCCGGGAGCTGAAGAGGGGTGCCGTGGTGGGTGGCGATGTGCCGAAAGGCAGAGCAGGTGATAATGGCAGGTGATAATACGGGTTTCATCCAGTGCTTCATTCCTGTCCTTGCAGGCAAGGAATCCCCCGTGATAACCAAAGAGCAGTTTCTCTGGACGATTCAGGTCGCTGCAGCTGCTGAACAGTCCTGGAGAAACGGATCCGCTGTTGACTTGCGCAACGAAGCAATAGATTCGTCCGTAATCAAGACTGAGATAATGTGACACACGCTGCTGTTTTCTGAGGTGAAGGATAACTGTTAAGCTGCGCTACAGCGAGGTCTTTCCACCTAGTGATGTCTCCGCTGTAACCTTAAAACGAGACCTGCGGTTTTGATGTTTCCGCCGGGAGAGCCTGGAAGACGGAGGCACTTTTGAACCAGAAGCGCTCGGTGCTGAGGCTGTGGATGTTTCTTAGCGCGTCAGCCAGAGCCCTCGAGAAATTCTGGGCAGTTTTATCCAGGTGGCTTTTCCTCCTGGAGAGCTCTGCTGGCTGTGGAGCTCTGTTTTCCTGGGAGAAGACGGATGCTCCTCGGGCCGTGGTAAGGTGGTGTAGACCGCCACCAGCCGTGATGGGAACGGTGCAAGTGGGCGGCTTTCCTGGCGGCTTCGCAAGCGAGGTGATGTAATGCTCAAAAAAAATACGGGAGCATCCGTCTGGTCCATGCTCATTTCCCTTCAGTGTATGCAGGAATGTGACTTCTGTGCTGAACTCGCCTCTGGACCTCCTATTTATTGTTTTGTTTGTTGTTTTTACTGGGTTTTCTAAGTCTTTTTGAAAAGAAGTTATGATCTAATTTTCTTGGGGGGGTGGGAAAAGGAAATTAAAAAGCAGGGAGGGAGACCTCTGACCGTCCTGATGTTGGAGAGATGAGACACTTCCTAGTAAGGCCATAAATTAAGGCTATTCCGTAGAGGAGCGACGCACTTGGGCATTTCGGTAATAAGCACTGCGTTGTTAAAGGGCTTTTTCAGAACGCAATCTGTGAATTTGTACAGGGGCCCTGTACCACATCGGTTACCGAGACATGCGGCTGCTGGGTGGGTTATTCAGCACCCAGCGTTGTCTGGATTACTCGCTGCAGCAGCAAGGTAGCTGTCTGGAGGCTGTTGTTTTCCTTGTTTAAATGCAAATGTTGCATGTTAACATTTTAGTAGCAAAATTGAACTAATAATCATATTCTTTGAGGGTAGGAAGGGCATCTGATTGCGTATTTTAAAGGTGTTTTTTTTACAGTCCAGCAGATTTGGAATACACACCACAGAAAAAGATAGTGCCTTCAACAACAGGCAAGTCTGCTTTTAAACCAGGTTCTTTGTACCTTTTTATTCTTGCGTTGAGCTTATTGCAGATGTATAGATTTTACTATTCTTGTCTATTTCTCACATGCCAATTTTCAAGATCTTTTGAAAGCTTTTTTTATTGCATTAAAATAACGTTCTTGCCTTGAGTGTTAGTTTATAAATGACACTTCTTGCAAGATTCTTTAGTTCAATCGATTTCCAATTCCTGCGTATGGAATATGTGTTACTAAAACTAGAAATAGTGGTGACATTCATAGCTAAAGACAATTCTCTCGTGGAAATTGTTTTTAACGGTGTAATTTTTCAAATTCAGAAAAGCTGTGTCTTAGCGATAAAGATTGCTATCAGTTTCATTCTCTATTTTCTAGTCATTTATTGGAAAAAAGAAAGTTCTACCTATAAAGAAGTAGACATTTGCCTCTCCGTAATCACTATAGTGACTCATTAATAGCAAGCGGGTTTCTTTTCGGTTTGGCGGGGTTTCAAGGCTGGCTCTGTGCAGGTGTGACTTTGGTGAGATGTACGCTTCCTCCCGTGGAGCGTTGGGAACGGAAAGCAGCACTGAGAGCTTTCGGGGTGGGGTAAGGCTGCTTGCATACGGGGAGCAAACTGCTCTCGCACGCTCCCCCAAAACAGTAACCCTGGCTGTGGAGGAAAGCGCTCTGCTCCCTCAGGCCGGTTGTCCTGATGTCGGTAAGGAGCAAAGGGCCTGTTAACGGCACTCGTGCTTTGGCAGCTGCTCCTGCGCAGAACGGCGTCTCTCTGTAGCTTCGTGGTTGCTTGGTGAAGCAAGCAACTTCAGGCCCTTCGAGGTCTTACGCTTTAAGGCTTGCGCTGGTATAGGAGGACGCTTTCTGCACAAAATAAGCAAGACTTGAGTTGCCAGATGTTGTAATTCCCATGTGTGCTTTTATTGTGTTACAAAAAAAAAAACCAACAGAGAAACCACAGCTATAAAAATAACACATTTTCCAAAGATAACATTACAAAAAATACCATTCATACCATGGTTGGAGTGTATCAGTTAACACTGCCGGAAGAAGCCTTAGTTAACATTGAAAACATGAACAATTGTTTCAAAACCTTTAAAGCATTAAAGTGCTTTAATTAGCCGTTATCCTGGGACATAGGTTCACATTTCAGCAATGCCAAAGGAGTCAGGTTCCTAATCGGTGCAGTGTAGAGGGGCGTAACGGCCTCCAGGATGGTGCGCTCGCACCTGCGGCTCACCCCGGGCGGGAGAGCAGAGCCCACCGCCGGAGGGCGGGAGCGGGAGGAGGCCACCTCCTGTGTGCCCGAGGCTCGGAGCCGCTGTTGGACACCGAGATGAAGGCAGCAGAGGGAGGACCTGGGTCCCGGGGCTGCTGTTACGGCACGTACAGAGTTCAGGCTCATTTTCCTGTGATCTTCCCTTTGAGTGGGGACAGACACCGGCCTGCAAGGAGGAGAAGGCGCATCTCTAAGGCGAGCCCTGAACGCTGTAGGTGGGACTCGAGCTCTTCTTCTTTTGCTCTACTGGTTAGAAGGGCCAGGGCTTTGCGGAGGGTCTCCTAGCTCCTTCCCCAGCCTGGGGGAGACGGGAGATAGTTGTAGGTCTGCCTTCTGAAGGCCTCCATCGCAGAGGCAATGCGAAGAGGAGACGCAGGAGTGGAAAGGTGCCAGGCAGCGCCGTTTCTGCACGGATTCCCTCGGGCTGCCCGAAATCTCGAGCGGCCAAAGGTTGAGGCGGCAAATGAAGCAGCTCCCTGCCCTCCCTCCCTTCCTCCGTCCAGCGGCAGCCCCTGTGACGTGCCTTTCGGAGACCTGTTGTGGGATGTCACCTTTCAGAACGTGTAGTCACGATGGGGGAGGGAGGGAACACACCTCCTTGCGTCCTTGCTTGCTGCTGAGGTTTTTTTCCAGCCTGAATCAACAGACAAATTACGCCTGGAAAAAACGACCAGAAACAGAAAACAAAACTGGAAAGACCTCACGTGGTCACCCAGTCCATCTCCTCGCTCCAAAGTAGGATCAAATTTACACCTCCCGCGTTCCTGCTCGCCAGGTCTAACCTGTCTGCAAAACTCCCTCGATGGAGCAGGGAGGGATTACCCAGACCTCTGACTTCCCAGGAGGATTCACAGGCTCGCCCCGTCCTCTGCAACTGTGTGAAAGATATTCAGAGGAGGAAAAAAAGTTTAATTTTGAATAGATAAGGCCGGAGACATGATTTTCTGCATGTTTACATGCTAGAACATGAAATTAATTTACTTGACACTGTAGTGTCTCAGGAGTAAGTATCAATTTTTGTAGCTTACATGAAAATAAATCTTTTTTCTCCTTGCAGCACAATGAGTATACTGTATGTACATTTGTTTCTGTTTATATACACAAATATTTAAGTACACGAACACATTGGGAACTGACAAACAGGTTCTTTTCTGCTCTACAAAGAACTGAAGGGAACGGGTACTTTTGGGCAGTCCGTCAGGAAAGCTGATTGCGTTGCTTTGCATCAGTCACTGGCAGGTATCTGTACAGAAAATGGACCAGGTAAGGGCTAAGTCCTTTTTACAATGATAAAGACCTGTCGGTTTTGGACACCGCAGAGAATACAGAACAGGGGTAGGTAAGCAGTAGCAAAGGCTGGTCTCGCAAAGAGAAAAACGTGCCATCTTTATGCCACGTCTATCAGATGTGGGGCTCCTCCGTTGAAACACAAAACAGCGTAAAGCACCAGCAGGTGCCTCCCCTGCCGCGGGCAGGCAGAAAATCCCCGCTCCGTTTGGTGAGCTGGCTCAGCCGCCCTCCCCTTTCCCTCGGCTCTCTGCCGAAGCCACCGCGCTTTCCTCTCCAGGGCAGGTGCCTCCCGCACGGCTCGGGGTCGTGCTTTCACACACAGCTTGCAGTTCCCCTCCGGGCAACAAAATCACATGCCCAAGGCTGAAAATATTTTTCATAGGGGGTTTCGTTTCCCCCCCGGTCTCTTGCTGCTGCCTTCTGGAGACCCTCAGTTGATCTCTCCCTCCGTGAATTCTTCCTTTATGGACTGTTTGCGAGATTTGCAGTCCGGGAGGTCAAACCCAAAGTCTGCCCACTCGTCGGCCCCGCCGCGGTTGGGGATGGTGATGGTGTGGCGCACGCGGAAGTGCACGGCCTCCATCACGCGCTGCCGCTGCAGCTCGCCCGAGCTGCCGATGGAGATGGTGGAGGCGTTGCTGCTGGAGCGGATGAGCTGCTGGGCCCCGTAGTCGTGGCTCTGTTTGAGCTCCTGCAGACCTCTCCAGATGATCATCCTGTACTGCTCCGGGATCTTCAGTGCTCCGAGATCCTGGAAGAACAACACTGGTGAGGCATAGCCGGCAGCCGGCAGAGACGCGACTACCGGCGGGAGTGAGCCCCGGACCCCTGAGCTCGTGCTTCAGGGGGGACATGTGGGCACGATGCCCGAGCACCCAACGGTGGCGGGGCTGGGCCTCCCCTGGGTCACGACACCAAGCCCACGGGCGCATCCCCCGTGGGTGATTTCTCATTTGTAACCAACGGCCAGTTGACCAGTTACTCAAGGGCAGCTTTGCAGGTTAGACATTTTTTTGTTTTCTTTTTTTTGGGGGGGGTGGGTTCACATCAAACTGATGTGAAAATGGGAGGGAGGGGACCTTTCCCCTTTGGACGCAGGTCACAGAGCAGCATGTGAAGCGTCCTCACGTCTGTTCACCTGGGCGAGGAGCTGTCAACCAGGCTGGCTTCTCCTCCGGTCCTGGACCAGGAGGCTGGAGCAGCACCTGCCCCCGGGGGCCAGTGTCATGCACTAATGCATCGACGTGGGCAATAGCAGGCTGTTACGACCCTGTGGGCTGTGGTCGTAAAGCGCAACAAGGTCGATAACCTCAGGACTGGGGGGCCTGCGCCAGAACGAACACCGTCGTAGCAGAGAGCTGCCAGAGATCCATGTTAATGCCAAACACAGAGACTCACGTGAGTGTTAACTAGAGCAGACAGCAAGTATGCAATTAGTAATTACAAATGTCGACTCGGACACACAGCTCAGCAATCTGATACAAGTTTTGGCCATACCAAACGTTTCCTTTGACAGCTTACAGACGGTTGCAGAGTTAGTTCAGAAAATGGTCCAAAACCAGGCGAAGGTTACGCAACTGGCCCCAGCTACCAATGAAAAATCATCGTGTCTCCGACAGCTGCATCACCAAAGCGTGGTCGCGCGTTTTACTGTAGCTGCCAGGTAGACGACAGCTACTACAAACTGCCTGGGGGCAAAAGGGGATTGGGGCAGGAGCTTTGTCTCAGCCAAAACACCGCCTCTGGGACTTAGAGGGCTTGCTATGGCTCAAAGGGTTTAAGATTTTTTTTTTTTCCCTCCTCCTTGTTACCCTCATGGGCTGGGGAAGTCCCTGCTTCGGTGCCGCCCTCGGTATCGTCACCAAGAGACTGTGCTTTAACCGAGAATGGTGGCAGCAGAGGGCTGATGCTCTGTGCAAGCTCGGGTACTTCTAGCATCCCCTCTACCGTTTTTCATGCCAGCTTTTCCCTGACCTGGGCTATGTCATTCCAGGGTTCCCTTAATACAAATGCCCCAGGCTTGACTCCCTTATTTCAGCTTCTTTTGTCTTAAAGGTTAACAGGGGAAGATGTAAGATCAGGTCAGATTTAAAACTCACTGAACTGCAGGGGAGGTGTTGCCGCTGGCTCAGCGGGCTTTGGGTTATTTTGCTGAGGATCTCAGCTGTTTTTTCTGTGTTAGGTAGAAAATCTACCTGAGGTCTGGTCTGGGGATCTTTCAGCTCTTCTGTTTCTGACAGCCTGGAAGAACCAATTGAGACTATCGTGGCTGCTACCGATGACTGAGCTACTGCTAAATCCGAAGGACCAGAAAGGATGCATAAATGGGAGGCATAAATCCTGGGGAGCATATATTCTGTGTGACGGGTTGGTGCACGGTTTTCCCTTTCCTTTAAAGCAGTTTTGTCCTTGCCTTTCAGATCAACAGCTGATAGAAACAAGTGGTAAAAACAGATCTTCCCAAAGCATTTACCTCTATGGATAGGTTCTGCAGGTGGTAAATATTCTGTAACCCTTGTGAGGTGAAATAGTCGATGCAGTTTGGACACCCCAATCCTGTTAAAAAACTGCAGAAAAAATTTGGAAAATAAAGTGGCATTAACTTCTCATGAATAAAAGCTGTGCTCGCAACCATCGCTGCAGTGGCAAACCATGTTTCAGGTCACCGAAAAGGCGGGGGGGGCTGCGGTGAGCTCCTGCTGCCTCCGGCCTCGGCAACGCTCCCGCACCCCTGCGACACAGAAGGGCTGCAGGCAGGCGCGAGGGCGGGAGGGAGCTCGCTCTGGGGTGCTC